TTAGTTATGTAAATGATAAAAATCTGTGTCTAAAAATACCACCTAGTATACACAAGACTCTTAACAGAAACTGATTTCCTACGTGAAAAATCATTTAATTCATAAATCTCTTTTACGGTATAGGTATCGGCCCTAAGACCATTTTACTTCATTTCAGTCACCTTCAAACGCTTCTCTTTTCTTTATAATTTAAGTAATTTTCTTACTTGCCAATTTCTCCATCCCAGCCTCTTCATTTGTCTAAATTTTAAAAAGTATTTATGTAGTTTCTATTTATGTCTTACATGAAAAGATCATGTTTATTCAAAAATAACCCTCTGCTGCACTAGAACAACAACATAAATAAATTTGAAAATAGGCAAATTTCAAAAATACACATTTAAAGTGGAATTTTGAAAAGCAGTGGTAAAAAAGTGTATAAATTTGATAAAAAGTAAACAAAAGTTTGCTAATTGCACTAATAAAAAGGAGAAATTTACATGGCTGACAATGCATCTATCTTGCAAATATTAAATATTTCTTTACAAAAAGCTACAATTACGCTTATTTGAACTCCTATCATTGGCTTCACGCCAAAAACTATAGATCTGTGAGCCGTCAACAACGTAATTTTTGATTCCTTCAAACTTCAAGCTAAGGTAGTCCAAGCACGTTTTGAGGGTAAAAAGGGAAGATAATACTAAAAGCCAGAAAGATAATCAAGTTTCCTACGCCAAAAAAATTATTAGAGTGAAGCCGACATAGTTAGCTGTGTTGTGAGACAATAATCCTACGTATCCTACTTATCATATTCCTAGGTAAAGCTATTAACGGCTAGTAGGAAAAGCTAAAATAATGATTGGAGAAATGGTAAAAATTAAGGATTAGTATTGATAAGTCAATAAGAGGTTTTTAATATCATTTTAAAACTATATTCGACTTTTTTCTCACACCTCCAGTTTAAACATAAAGTGTTGTAAAAGAACAACAATTTTACACATTTTTCCAACGCTTTTCCAATTGAATAGATGCAAAGGTCGCAAAAAGAATGGAATTAACTTAATCAGAAAAAAAAAATGTTCTCCGGCAAAAACTATTTTATTATTATTATTTAAGATGACTAACATATTATTGACTATCAACAGCCTAACCTAACAGTTTCAGCAATAGTCAAAGTTTCTTAATTCTTACCTGTTTTAATATACTTTCATTGTCCTTTTTAGCAATTGGTTTTTCACCTGTACCATTTTTCCCTGAAATTGAATTAGACAGGTTTTTATTTTAATGCTAAAGTCGCAAATTGTTTTAATTATTCAAAATCAATAATCAGCTACCTTCACTATTACTATTAGATTTTTTCTTCGTTCTCTTCTTCTGTAACCTCTTTTCCCGAGATTCTGCTCTTTCTTCAGCACCCGATGAAGAATCTGTACTTTTTTGATTTACCAAATTACGTAACTTTGATCGTCTACGACTCTCTAAAATGCGAAAAAGAGAGACTGTTGGTCAATGACAATGAATAGTAATAACTATACTAAAAACAGTAATAATAATCATAAAATAAAAATTAAAATAAGACTGGAAAAAAATATACAAAAAATAAAAATAAAAACGAAAATAAAAAAAGAAAAAAAGGTAATAAAAATAAAAATAATAATAATTATAACAATAATAATAACAATAATAACAATAATAATAATATTGAGAACGATGATGACGACGATGAAGATAGTCTAATGGATATGGATTATATTAATTTTGTTACACAAATATATTTTACGATTATTTGTGAAAATAGCACTATCTGTTTTCTATTTTGGCTACAAATGATCGATGATCATCTTTGGAAACTTTTTTATCTGACAATATAAATTTCACTTACTCTTTCCATCCTTAACAGTTTTTGTTTTTGGTGGTGATACACTTGGCTCCTTCACTGATGAATATCCCTGTTTTAGTTTTGAATATTCGTTTACAGAGTTGTTGTCATAAACACTTTCTTTGCTTGCCTGTTTTGGAAGTGTCAACAAAGAATGATCCCTGAAAGTAAAAACTATTTGCAACTATTAAACAGCACTGATTATTCGTTCAAAAAGCATATATATATATATATATATATATATATATATATATATAAGTGCTGTGCTTAAGAGTGCGTATTTTTGTTTGTGGTCGTCCCCAAAATCCTTACAACTTTTTGGTTTATCAAACAGCTTTTGTGTGACTTTTTATAACAAAACAAAATGAATATGATAAATCATATTAAACCTGGACAACGATGATGGCTGGATGGTTAGTGGAAACATCGTCTTTCTGGAGCTAACTGGTGAATAACTCCTAAAATTATCAAGAAAGTAACTTGTTAAAAAACTGAAGTTGAATGGACAAACTGGTTTCAGGATTAAATCAGCGGTTGATCAAAAACGTACTTTTCAAGACAAGAACATTAATTTATTTGAACAAATTATGCAGCAATGCGAAAAATTCCTTGAAACTATACTAAATATATGATAAAGTCTAAAATTTGAGTTTATGTTTAGCAACAACTGTCTGTTAAACATTATAGAGATTGCTAATTGAATAAAATAAGAAAGCTTTTAAAAACATTACAAAAAGTTTCTGGAAGTCGTAAAAAAAAATTGAAGAAGAAAAATTAAGAGAGAAAACGAAAGAAACCGTAGACATACCTTGACATGTATGATGGCCGTACTTTAGAGTTATCACCTAAAAAGCCACTGTATTTGCTGAGTGCTGGATATTTAGAGAGTGTCGCTTGAAATGAAGAGCTTTCACCATATCGCGGTGTTTCCACAGATAAATGTCTGCTACTCCAAAGATATCGAGAATTTCCCTATACAAACACACAGATTTGGGTGCTTAATTGAAATCGCAGATGTCAGGAAAAAGAACTGCAGTGCAATTTTTTAGCAAAATTTTTGTCCTTGTGTATAATAAAACGTTATTTATCTTTACTGTAAAGATGCTTTGAAAAAAGTGTTTAAAAACTGGCAAACGTTCCAGTTTTTGTCGTAAAGCTTTACGTAATTTAAATTATTCTTAGCTAGTCTACCGAACTGATTAACAAAAGAAAAACAAAGAAGAAAATAATGAATTGAATAAAACTTCTTCTTGTTTTTAATACTGTAGACTATCTCTTCCTTGCAGAAACCACTACAGTAAATTAATATTTATATTTCTTATATTGCTCCTAGATGTTCAATTTTACAAAGTTGATTAATGTTTTTGAACCGTAATCAAATTTTAACACTAAGTGATAGATCAGCTAAAATAAGTTTTGTTGTAAAAATAGATGCATTTCGTGAAGAAGTTGTCTTGTTTGGTTTCAAAAGATAGATGAATATTGCGGAAAAACCGTGATAAGCCAGGATACGTACAGAAGACGTATTGCCAACAATCTGTTTGAGCGCATTCAATGAACTCTGTAGCTCGTCGCCGTTACTGGAGCTTGTAATACTTGATCGTCGCGATCGATGCGCAGCTACTGATGTCGAAACAGCCGTTCCAACCTGATCGCCGTGAAGCCGTCGCAGACGAGCCGCATCAGACATTCGCTGTCGCCACGGTCGCTCGGATTTTGGTGTAAAGCTGGAAGGAAGAGGAAGACACTCAGTAATAACAGCAGAAAGTTTTTGTTTAGTGCAGGCAAAAAAGTTGAAGAACTGTTTTTTCCCTCCCCTCTTGAAAAAAAGAATAATTTTTTAAAGGGAATATCAACAATAAATTATTGGTTCATTTTTGTTTTCTTTTTTTTTTTCGTTTTCTCCTTTTGTTGTCGCCGTAACACCGGCAGTTCTTAGACGGCACAAATTCTTTTTCGAGCATAAGATCAATAAAATCAAATCGTTATTTTGCACAATATTTCTCCTCTTTTTTTGTGCTAAACACTACAAGATGTTCTGAAGTTAGCCTAAAGCAGAAAAGAAAAAAAAAGATGAGAAAAAAAATAACTACTTTCAAAACTTCTTAGTTCGATTAGGGCTCGTTAACGAGCTTTTTCAAAAATTGAAATGCTATCGACGATAGGAATGGTAGCAAAATAAGAAGATAATACTTTCTACGACATAAAACACTAAGTCAAAAATTCTTGGAAAAAAGTCTTGTTAACCTGAACTCTGACGGCCATACAACAAGGAACCAAGAAAAAAACTCTTGTTGTTGCAACTATTTCTGGACATAAAACTGCTGGTAAAAAAAACCCACCAATGTATCAATAAAAAGCAATCAATTAAAGATTACTGAAAAAAAAACGTTTTGCTGCTTCTTTTATTTATTTTTTTTGTGCTTCTGTACCGCACAAGATTAATGCCACATCAAAAAGTTTTGCCACAAAAAGAACTGGAATTGTAACAGTTACAAAAAAAGGAAAATTTTTCTTTAACACCAGCAGTTAGGTACACAGAAAACAAAACTGTTTTAATAAAACATAACTCCTTTTTGTTTAATTATTTTATTAGCAATGATTAAAAATTGATAACCTCAATGAGCTATGGTCAGTAACCGTTGCCGTTGTGCTCGGCGATGAATACATCGAAAGCGGCCGTCGACCACCATATGAAGACGAGTCACTCGATTTGGCCGCTAAATTTGGTTCCCAACTTGCTTCAAAATTACAATTTGTTATCGCTGGTGTTTTCTCTTCTGCTTTTTTTCTTTTTTCTTGCTTAATCTAATTAGCTTAAAGACGAAGAGAATAAAAAGAGGAAGGAGAAGAGGGAGAAAAACAAAATAACAAAAAAAA